TCTTGTAAGATAACAAAAATTGAAAATGTATCACGAACATTAACGGGAAAATGGCCGTCCGCGCGGACGTCGGATTCGAGAAATTCGTTGTCCGCGGAGAATTTTTGACCGTCGAGGACGGGCGGACCGGCTGTTTTTCGAGCCCTGATAAAATATCTTTCTAAATAAGTATCATAAGCTCAACAAAAATTCGTTAATTCTTAACCAAAGTCCTAACTTTCTAGTGGGACGGAAATTTTTTTTGCTCAGATTCCAGCTAACCTGCTTAAGAGGACGCCATACTACTGGAGAAAAGTTTCGTTGCAAATTCTCTTTCACCTCTCATAACTAATTTAAAGTATGGAAAAAGTGAGTTCAGACGAACCCAAAGTAAGCCGTGAAGTTTCCAATACTGAAAAGAAACTTTTAAAATGTCAAAATAAAATTAAAAAATGAACCTTAATCAAATTGCAAAAATTTTAGCTTAAAAAAAATCAACAAAAAAGTTGTGATCACCTTATTACGATTACTGGTTACCTATTGGTCAAATGCTTTTTCTTTTTTAATTGGCCACTTCAAATCATGGGTCGCAAAAACTGTCTCAATTGATGTTTGTCGTCGGATTGATTTTCAAATCCTGCCTATGTACGTGTTTCAAGACGTCACAAAATACTTCTCCCTCTTCAACATTCATATTTATATTGAAATCACCGTCAAGCCAGTAATTATAAGTTAATAAAAAAGAGCTTAAAAATACTTTAAATTATTATATAAATACATTAAAAATGCCTGCTAGTGAAAATAAAAATAAAAACAGCAGCGGTCGTCATAGCAACGCATGCGCATTGTTTACTATTACTCTTGAACACAGTTGAAAAGTGTGTGGACGCCATCAAACCCGAACCAAGACTCATTTTGCCAATGAGTAATAAATTATAAGAAGATAACTTAGGATTTCGGCATGGAGAAGTTCTCTTCCAATAATTTGTTTTCATTTCGATATTTTGATTTTTTTTTTCAGTAATTGAAACTTCATTGCTTTCTCTAAGTGTGTCTGTACTCACTTTTTCTTTCTTTTAAATTTTAAAGGTGAAAGAAAATTTGCCATTAAAAGTTTCTCCCGTAGTATGGCATTCTCCTAAGCGTCAATTTGATACCAGAAAATTTTTTAAAATTCAATTTCTGATGGTCTCAATAATGTGCATGGTGCGTAACGTTTTTAAAAAGAGTTTAAATGTGTTTATTTTCGATTTTCGTTTTTTAAAGGCCCTTAAAGGTGCTTTTGTCATTGGGTGTTTTTAAAGAGTGCTTAATTTTCCCTTTTCGAAAATGAGATTTGTCGATTTTCGCTACGTTTTATGCAAAAGGTTGCTTTTCACATTGTTCTATTCAACGTTTTCATAATTCATTCAACCACAATCCATTTCGGCGTCCTGTGTTTCCATAGCGTATGAAAACGCCAATCATTTTACATGTTTGAAGAAATAAATACTTGTGAGTCCGCATGTGCATGTACTGAGCTGGATTCGGTGAGATTATTGCACACTCATATGCAACTCTGCTGCATTCTCAATTTCGGGCTTCTTTTTCCACCCTCTGATATCGAACCGAAAAATCTCTTGAACATTCTATAATAACTAAAACATAATCAATAAAAAAAAAAGTTCTTTGTCAGAAACTAGTTATTTTATCATGATCATGTAAAGTCTTTGAAAATTATTTTGCATTTTGACAACGTATATATTGCTTAAAAAGTACTTAAAAGGTGCTTATTTTTTGTTGAAAGATTTGGCTACGCACCCTGGTATGGTCCTGAAGATTAGGTTGTTTTTGATTCATCAATTTTCTTGTTATCGGACACCTCAATTATTTTCAATTTGTATAAAGTATTAAGAGTAAAGCCTTTCTTCAAGTTTTAGGCTCTCTGGCCTTTATTTTCTCCCTTGGGCGAAAAGGCTTCGACAATATATACTTATATCACACATCTGTAGTCAACCATTTATCATCCACCACCTACCATCAAACATGCATAGTATTCTTTTAATTAACCTTATCATTAGCCTTTAATTAACCCTAACGCTTAATGAAGAGTCTTCATTAAGCGTTAGGCTTCATTAATTAACGCTTAATGAAGAGTCTTTTTTATTAATGAATGGTAACACTTTTATTAATAATGCACCGTTAATCAAATGATGAATGACTTACTTGAAATATGTCATATCGGATGTCATTAATTTGCACAACGGGAGGAACTCCCTCTGAGAATTTTGTGGAGAGCATCGACTTAAATCTCGGTGAGGCATTCACTAAGATGATTTTGTGAGCATAGAACACCCGACCCTCTACTCGGAACTGGACGTCGGACATCTCTGGATTATTCACATAAGTTGGATCTAGAAATTTAGATAATAACATTCATTATATTTCTGTATTTACAGTCCAAATTATTAGACGTACTATAAGATTCCATGTAAATTCTCAATTATCAGTTGATACGATACAGAATTATTGTTTTTACCCGACTGAAACCGGTTTGCACTTGTTTACGTTCGCGTATCAATTGCTTAACATTATAATGCAATACGATAAAAATAAATACAAATAGGAAGTATATATAAAAAAAAATTTGTAGTGGTAGACACACTACAGTACTTCCCCACCAGAATTATTTGTGTGTTAGAATTCGATGAACGGATACCACTAGTTGGTTCATTGCTGTTTTGTGAAAAGCTGGGAGAGCGGTATTAAGATAACCATACTTTTGCTGATCGTGAGAGCTGTATTAAGTTCACAGTCGTGGTTGCTCCTGTGTTGCCATTAGCAGTCGAGTGTATGCAGGCCGACGTTGTGTGTGATCGAGACTGAGTAGCAACAGCGTGAGGAGGTGGATAATGTAGCATCAACAATGTATATAAGATCTCGATTCTATGTTGGGGTACCTTTTCATAGATGAAGGTCGACATTGTCGATAGCTACCATCCCCACAGCTTCATTACGATTACAACAGTACCCATAACAGTTGGTCATTTTTTTTCCTGGTTTGACTCCCATAAACGCCACAACATTTCAAATCGTGGGTTCCAAAAACTGTCTCAATTGATGTTTGTCGTCGGATTGGTTTTCAAATCCTGCCTATGTACGTGTTTCAAGGCGTCACCTTCCTTCTTTAGTATTCATATTCATATTAAAACCACCGCCAAGACAGTCATTATAAGTTAATAACAAAAAAGAATATAAAAATACTTTGAATTATTATTATGTAAATACATTAAGAATGACTGCTGGTGAAAAAAAAAAATTCTAAAAAAATTATTAAATAGCAGCGATCGCCATAGCAACGCATGCAATGAATTATTATGTAATTCTGCGCTACATTTTAAGATAAAGTTATTCAGAAAGGTGGTCAAAATTTACAATTATTATTGTTGTGCGAATAACAACTGTTATAAATAACAGTTAAAGAGATCTGTTAAATGATTTAGAAATCAGCTTCATGTACAATGAGATGCAAGCAAAAATAGTATTTAATATATCCGCCAGTTTGTAAAGCGAAAATATTAAATTACGGTTATGAATTCATCAAATTTGTTTCAGCAATATAACAATAATTTGTCATAACAATATGTTACTTTAACAAATGATAACTTAAAAAAAGTACTTCTGTTCACCAATAGATCTAAATATTTATAATACTAAATAGATAATAATATTTGGACGTTGGAAGTGGAGGCACAAGCGTAAGCAAATAGAATTCGCGATCGCAACGAACTATAGGGGGCGTTGTTGTATGAGACGCATACCTGCGATTTCTATATGAACCGTCATTCAGTTACTCTGGAGACGTCGTTAATGTAGCGTGTAGCATTGCAACGTTCCTTCTTTAATGTGGCTTATTAAATTTAAAAAAGAAAAATGCTTGATCTTCTTTCTTGTACAACCGAAAACAAAATGGTATCTCTTTTTATTAGAGAAGGAATATCCAAAACACATCGGAAAAATATTTGTACATTAACAGAAAAAAATATGTATATTCTTATAAGAGTTAAAACCTAATGCCCGAGAAATAGTATTACTAAATTTAATGATATAACATGAAAGGCCCATTTAAACTTTACATTCTATAGTTTTAAGAATCATATTAGTTCAAAAATTAAAATGAACAAAAAGTATACATAAGCCTCATAATTTTATGAAATTTAATTTTGTAAACAACGTTTTTTGACAACAATTTTTATCAAAAAATTTCAAGTTTCAATAAAAATCATTATTTAGAAACTAAGAAACGTAAAATAAAGAATGCTGACGAAACAAAAACAAAAAAACAATTCTTTTTTGTCGCCATTTTTAGTGCTACGAATATTCGTCTTTGGGATTTGCCAAAAACAAAACAAGATGCAATTTTATTTTTTCAGGAGGGAAATATTTTACCGAAAAAACGAAAATGTACCAATTCCCACAACATAAAACTTTATCTTGGCAAACGTACGTTTTGGAAATGTTATTTCATTTGGAATCTTATTCATCAGAGTTCATATGGCGATATGATTGTTTTGAATCTATGCTAAACTCTATATCGGCTCATTTTCCACCGAAATCCAATTAACTATTTTGATTTTAAATAAAGTGTTTTATTTTATGAACTGTCGCAAAAATTTTAAGTGTAGATTGGCGGCACTTAAAAACCGCCAAATCTGTAGCGGCGGTGGCGTTAATACGTCGTAAGTACCGAATTTTTATTCCATACTTTTCTGAATCATATTATTTCAAACATTGGAATATACAAGAAGTATACATAAACACATAATGTTATACCATTTAATTTTTCAAAAGTATTTTGAGAACAATTTTTATCAAAAAATTATAAACTAAAAAACGGAAAATAAAGAATTCTTAGGATAAAAAAAACGATTTTAAGAATTATTAACATTGAAATAAAAACTTTCATATTGTTTCTTTTTTTATTATTCTTATAGTTCTTAATCAGACGTAAAAAACCATTCTGTAGAGAACCATCATCAAATGAAAAAAAAATATTTACAAGCAAATTTTTTATTGTAAAAATCATTGCACTTACCTGATTTATGATTCCCGGAGAATTCCAAAATGATAAGTTCCTTGTTTGAAAACTTTATTCTCAAATAATAGATACATAGTTTATACCTTCATTACTTTTAGATAACATACTACACAGCAAAATTTTATAATTGATATGAATTTGAATATGTAGCTAAAAACAGAATAGCTGAATTCTAGTTGAACTTATTCTTTCAAAATTAAAAAAAACTTACCAAGAAAACGATTTAAATTAATTAAGAATCAGCACAAATGGCACTATTTCAAGTAACTTGGATAATTTTTTATTGTTGTTTTCCGAATTATATGGATACAGAAATATATACTATTCTATAACGAAGAAGAATATGCTATAACTATTACAATTCTGTATGTTCTGAATTCATATTTATTCACTGGAATGACGAAAGCAATGTTGACTTCACTTTAATTCGTAATGAATTGAAGACAGAAGAAATGCATTTTACCTTAATACACACATCTGTAACAGTATCCGAAATCGGAAGTCATCAGTTGCAAGTTTGTTGATAATAGAAATTAAAAATTATTGAGGAATTTTTCTTCAAATGTTTGGCGTGTTCTGTTCCTGAAAGATTTACTAATATTCTGGAGATTTTTTTCAAGTTCTTCGGCCTTTTCCTTAGGGAAATTTTGTTTCTTATTTGCTGCTAAAAAATGGCGTCTGATTCAGTCAATGATTTCGATGGAACTAAATGAAAACGTGATAAATTAATGTCCGATATTTACAGGCTCCCGCTAGACGGCGTACTCGAGCGTTGCGATCGCGAATTCCTTTTAATACATATAAGTGAATAATTTTAACTTAAGTTGAAAAACTGCTTTTTGCCAAGAAACAATAATAAAACCAACAATCGGGGTTAGTGAGCGGCAATGAAGAGGGGGGTTAGTTCTTTATTATGGAATAATAGACACTTTGTGTAAATTAAGTCACTGGGAGAAATTTAATCACAAAATATAAAAATTATGTCACGCTAATAACCAGGAGCCGAACCAGGTAAAACTCGACGCCGTTTTAAAATCTGAATGAAATCAAATTTATAAAAAAGTGCTTTTTCACAAAATTCATATTTTTTAAAATAAACCCCTTTAAAATTTCAAATTTACGTATTTAATTCATTAAGTATAAGTAGCTTTATCAAATTATTGCTCATACTTATATTGAAATACTAATATTAAACGTAAAATGTAGCGACTGCTAAAAAATTTTATGCATTTTTTACAGTGATACTTTTTCACAAAAAAAGAAACCTAGAAACTTCGATTCCTGTAAATTTAAATATGCTTTTCTATTGCATGTAAATAGGCTGTTACATTAATGGCCATTACAAATCAAAATAAAACATAAATTATAAGAAAAATTATGTTCAATTTGAAATTTTGAATTACTACAGATGCCAAATTTATTTCAAATGGTTGTAACTTATCGTGAACGTAACTGATTTAATTAAGCTTTGTGGAAAATATATTTCGATAGAGATTTCTTTAGAAGCTCTTAAAATATGCAAAAACGGAAGAATTTTCGATGAAACCAGAAAATACTGCCAAATTTAAGTGTCCTTGAAAAGCTATGGCAACAAAAACGATTTACATTAAGCTTTTTAAAGAAGCTTGCAAAGTCAAGAATTCCAATTATAAAAACAAGTAAGATAAGAATAAAAAAAATTAAAGTCAATTCCTTACCTATGTCAACAAGAAAAATTTTTATATTTTATTTACTTTTTATTAAATAATTAAATTTTATTAATGAAAGCTGAATGAATTAATGAAAAACACTGTATTAACATCAAGTGTCATTTACCACAAGTTTAAAAAGATGTATTTGAACTTACATGGATGAATAAAAAGTATTTTATTAAGTATTGAGAATTTTAACAATATATAGGGAGAGCGTGAACTTATAATAGGAATTGAAATAATAATGAAACACTAACCTATTCTAGCACCGCCAATGTAAGAGACATTTCTTATTTCTTTGATAGATTCTTTGCTGTAACAGTTAGAGAATATGTCCGCCAACAACAAGCTTGTACCTTCCTTCTGATTGGACAAGAAAAAAAATACAGAATGATTGTACTACTATTAATCCAGTCATGCCAAAAAGTGTTAAATGATTAATATGCTTTTACCTTGCTGTGTCTAAAAATGGTGAAAAGTAGAGGAAGACATTCATCAACAAACTGTGAGCTGCAATCCTCGGGCCAAACTTGCAGATAGTCTTGCAGTAGTTGGTCAATCACTGGTTCGACTTGCATCTCGTAAGCCATCGCTAGAGTGTTCATCCAGCAATGCAATGTCCACGGCACACCTGCCACAAAAATTAATATTTAGCAAACAAAGGACTTTTCCTATAGTGCGGCTTTTGAGCCTCGATGGCTCAGGCGATGAAGCGTTCGCTTTCCACTGAGGTGAACCGGGGCTCGAACCCAAGTGATGGCTGGTCGATACGAATTCCCCCAACCACAGTGCTTCGTGAAATATCCTCAGTGGTAAACGGCTCATGGGTTAGAGTCCCCTTGCCGTCAGACAAACCCGTGGGAGGTTTATGTGGTTTCCTCTCCACGAAACGCAAATACTGGTTAGTTTCATCAAAAAGTCCTCCATGAAGGTAGAGTTCTCCCAATACTTGATCCAGGAGTTCCCTTGTCTTCTGGATTGGGATCAAAATTACAAAGCTACGGAGTTGAACAATAATAGTCATAAACCCAAAATTGGGTCAGCTGTTCAAAGACGGTTATAAAATATAAAATAAATATATAACGTGGCTTTTTTTAGCCGCGATGGCTTAGGGGATAGAGGGTTCGCTTTCCAGTGAGGTGAACCGTGTTCGATCCTAATTCGAACCGTGTTCGATCCAAGAATTCGTGGGTTCGATCCCTGCCGGTCTAAGACTCCCTGTGTAGTAAATGGGGACTGATACACGTTAAATCTGTCGAGTTACAAAGTCCACCATGTTCCCACAACAAATTATACCACTGGTACTGATCCAGGAGTTTCCTTGTCTTCTAGATTGATTCTTAAAATACAAGGCTACGGAAATGGACATAAGTAGTCGTAAACCCAAAATTGGGCTGGTTGTTCAACGACTGATATATTATACGAAATAAAATATAGTGCGACTTTCAGGAGAACTGCACCAGGCATCCGACTCGCATTGTGGCAGACTATGGTTAGGAGGAAAATTCACTTCGAATAGGGGTGTGGGTTGAAAATTTTTGTCATAATATTGACATAGATCGACCTCCATTTCACCCCCATTGGAGGTGTACTCTCGCTTGTTACCATAGCAGAAGACAGCCCAAGACTTTTAGTCTGGGGGAGTTCTTCTGAACGTTACACAGTACTTGGAGATAACCATTGAAAATTAAAGCAGGCGTAAAATACGATAAATATTGACATCTCTGATACTGTAGTGAAAGGAAGAACTGAACTGAAAATATCCATACCGATATTGATATTTCCGTATCTAAAATATCAATATTTCATAAATGATGTTAAAACAAGCCACGTCTTAATTTAATTTTTATGATATACCGTGATACACAGCATTTTTTATCATAGGCAAATGAAAACTAAAAACCTTCGTTTTTACTTATTTCGAAATTTAAAGATAATGCAATAGCAAAGCTTAAATACACGTGTATTACCTATGTTCCTCAAATCGAGCGTAATATCGATATGTCCATTTTCAGCACAGTGATACATGGCTTCTTGGAGTGATTTCAACTGGGCTTTGGTCAACTTTATTACTTGATTGTTTTCAGAGGAAGGAATACTTGTTGAAGATTTGTTCAAATCATCTACAGACACAGGAACAACCTGAAAATTCGTTAATGATATCATTACTAACATGACAATATTCTTCTTAAGTGTAATGGTCACATTATTACTATTTTAACTGTTCATTATCGGTAAAAAATATAATGATTCACAATACTAAGGAACAGTTTAACAATAAAATGTCACATTTGGAAAAGTGTCAGTTATTAAAAGATAGGTACCAGCCTCTATTTAAGTTCCGTTATTCCGTTAGTTATATATATATAGATTTTTATAATTCTTGTCAAAATTGGAGTCAGAAAAAATATACATATTAAAAGCAGTGAATTAATATTAAACGAGGAGAAAAAAACAAAAACTCTATAGAAACCTGCCGAATCACCAGTGAAAAAAGCGGTATGAATATAAATAAAACCAGTTTAATTGTTAGCAATAAATCCAAGTTTCATCAGGCAATTAATCACATTTCAACTACCCTCGTAAGTCGAACAGAATTTGATAATTTCTTGTCCCATATTTATTGGTGCTGCATCGATTTCAGTGGTGTTTTTGATTTTTTTTCCTCGTTTAAAAGGCCCTCGTGAGCACAGTATTTTGACAAAAATTTTAAAAATATATATATTTACATTTATTCCCAGTTGCACCTTTTTCAGAAAATGAACTAAAGGTTTTTCCCTCTTTCAGAAAAGTGCAAGAGATCTCCGATCGTGGAGCTTTTGCATTAGATAATTTGACCAGACATACTTCGTTTGGAATGCTATAGGGTCATTTTCACTGCATGCGATTCACGAAACTCCGGTCGCCGTCAAAAGAAAACGAGAATCTCGATTGAATATTCTCCCGCGGAAAACCACACCAATCAGGTTCTCCATCTATCTCGAGAGCAGACCGGAGGTGCGTGAATCGAATGCAGTCAGATTTTTAGAATTATTAATTTGCATTAGATAATGTGCCATGACGTACTCCGTTCGGAACGCTAAAGGGTCATTTTCACTGCATGCGATTCACGCAGCTCCGGTCGCTGTTGAAATTAACACGAGAATCTAATTGGTGAAAAATATTCTCCCGTGAAAACCACACCAATCAGGTTCTACATCTATCTCGAGAGCAATACGCAGGTGCGTGAATCGCATGCAGTTAGAATGGTACCCATGATTATTACAGAATAACCCTTCACAAACATGCACAAAGCAAAGCTTGTGAACCGATTGAACCTCCTTCCTGGCTTCGGAGATTTCCTCAATCTGAGGCAAATTATAAACATGAATAGTTTAGAGGTATTCACCTGCAGCCTGTTCGTTCTCCTGTCACATGTGAGTTGTGAGGCGCCCTCTGCCAGTATCTCTTCCAGAGAGAGAACATCTTTATTGCTTTTGGTGACTGGGTGAGAGAGTAACAAGTGGAGCATGGTGCGCTGTCCGTGGGCACCAGCAACCGCTATGGCACTGTAGCAGCCCCTCTGAGCAGCACCCCCGTAGGCCAGGGTGTCCCTCAGAGTGGTAGAAAGGAATGGATGAGCCCCGTGCATCAATAGCAATTCCGCTAGTTTCAAACGCCCTGCAACAGCCGAATTCCAGAAATTAGTTATCATACAGAATTAATAAGCACATTCAGTACAGTAATAAAAAAATTGGAGAGGATAAAAGGGAATAAGTACATCCAGTGCAGCAGTTAGAAACTTGGAAGGGATAAAAGGGAATAAATACATTCAGTACAGCAGTTAGAAACTTGGAAGGGATAAAAGGAAATAAGTACATTCAGTATAGCAGTTAGAGACTTGAATGAGATAAAAGAGAACATCATAAAGTTTAAAAACGGACCCATGATCGGAAATGTCATCGCGCGCCGCTAGGAGGTCGCTTATCGTTTAAGGACCACACATTCCCGCGCACTTTAAAGGGTACTTGTATTTATTTAAATTGTCTAACTTTTATGTTAGGTTAATATTTTTCAATAATTATAGATAAAAAATTATACTTAAATACGCCCAAATGTAGCTGTTTTATCGCAATTTACAATTTGGAAACCAACTTGCAGAACTACTTGATTATCAAATCAGTAAATTACGATAAAATAGCTATTTTTGTCGTTATTTGAATGTAGTTCTTGACTGTAATTACTGGAAAACATAAAACTAAAATGATTTAGATACATAAAAATAAGAGCTCAAGTACACACCAACAACCAGTTCATAGCAGTTAACTGCTCCTAGTATGACGCATCCAACCGTGGATTACTGTACAATTTTCATCCATATGATATGCCCATAAGCTTCCTTTACTTTTTTAACCGCTGTAGTGAATTATTCTGCATTTAAGAAACTAACATGTGCTTATAGTTTATAACAATAACTATTATAAAAATGAAGCTATAAATTTCGCTCTAAAATGTTTTGAAACAGTGCCTATGATACCAGTGGAATTTTTTAGGAAGAACCATAAGTGTCAAAAATTGAAAATATATGAAAGATGAAAAGCGTTTTTCTCTTTAATAATTCGAACAGAGCCGCGATGGCTCAGGGGATGGATCGTTCGCCCTCCAATGAGGTGATCCGGAATCGAATCGCATCGACCCCTGGTTGATACGAATTCCGCATCCGGCTTGCACCGAAAACAGTGCTGACGTGAAATATCCTCAGTGGTAGACGGATCATGGGTTAGAGTCCCTTAGCCGTTAGGCTTATAGTGGTCTTCCTCTCCATGTAACGCATTTGCGGGTTAGTACCATCAAAAAAAGTCCTCCACGAAGGAAAATTTCTTCAAAATTATAAGACTACGGAGTTGAACATTAGTAGTCGTAAACCCACAAATTGGGTCTGCTGTTCAACGACGGTTATAAAATAGTTTGCATTGAACATTAGATCTGCTATGCAGGTTGCTATACATAATCAACTCCCAAAACTACACTACGATGTCATAATCTCGCTTCTCCGAAGAAACGCAATTCAATTAAATGCAATTTTGGAACAACATCGAACTTATGGACAGTCCTTTGTGTGAACAATGTTATTTCACAGAGTGCGAAAATCAGCTGCTCTTGATCTAGATCGAAATTTGATCTAGATCGACAAGATCGGGTTTTTCCCACTTTCCCCTCTCCGTCTTCTCTGTTACGACCAACACGAAAACTTTTTGATGAAAATTAGTGTTCTTTTTAAGCTTAACTAAACGATTCTAGTTCTCAAACTCAAATCTTACATTTAAGTAAATCTAACGAAATTTATTTTTGACTGGTGCGACGTAAATAAATTACCTACCCACCGACCATCTGAGTGAAGTTCAAAATATCAAGGTTTAGAAACAGTACATTGTAAGATAGGCTGTTCAGTGCTGCTTAACACTGTTTACAAAACTATGAACCATACATTTCAATAAAATAAATACCTGATGCCGCGGCTAGTTGAAGAGGTGTGACTGTGATTTTCTCTTCGCTTAGCCGAGCTCCGCCTTCCACATTAGCTCCTTTCTCTAGCAAAAGCTGCAAACAATGTACAAACAATGAAATTAAATATACAACGGATACTAAACAATTGTACATTTAAAATAAACAGAATGAAGTACTTTTTTTTCAATGCCTACTATTAGTTTACACTCTCCCTATATCTTGTTCAAGTTTTCAATCCTTAATAAAATACAATTTATTCACCCACACAACTTCAAATACATTTTTTTAAACTTGTAGTGGATGATACTAGACGTTAATACAGATTTTTTCAAATATTAATTTATTCATTAAATAGGGAAGAGCGAAAAACGAAATGGAATTATCTGATGGGTTAAGCCAGGGATGGGGAAACTACGGCCCGCGGGCCAACTGTGGCCAGCCGGAGGATTTTATCCGGCCCGCGGATAGAATTTTTATTTGCCGATCAGCGGCAAATATAAACAATATACATCCATTTTATTGTCGACTATGTTTAAAATTATTTCTGTTTTTCCTTTTTTAACAAAGTACTGATGACATTTTTACTTTCTCTATTTTTGTTCTACAAAACATAAATTGAAGGATATAGTTAGCACAGACAGCTTCTATTGGTAAAATGCTGAAAGCAGAAGTTCTTTATAGAATGGCCGTAGATTGGCTCCAACTAGCGTTTGTCTTTCTCGAGGAGCTGACTTATGGAATCTAATATAGGTAAATTGTACTTCACATTTGGCAGACTGCGCATTTTACGCTCCAAAGAGCGGACAATCTAACAATCATCTGAAGCAGTTGTTTCTAAATATGCCTAAGTTTGACAAATCATTACCAAAAGCTAGTTTCCAAAATTTAAAATTTCACGCCCAGAAAATCAGTGCTATGTTAGCTTAATCTTATATACGTGAACAAGAGTTTTCAGTTATGAACCTTAGAAAAAATTATTTCAGAAGTAGACTAACAGAAAAGGATTTAGCCTTGTTCCTTAAAATAAGCACATCTCACTTCGAACCTTAATATAAGGAACTTTTAGAATTGAAATCGCAATTTCCTTCATCCCACTAAATATTTAAATTAAAACTTGTATATCGCTTTTTTTTCCTTCTTAAATTTTGAAGATCTTACCTTGGCCCACCAAAAAAAAATTTTCTTGATTTTTGGCCCTCGACCAAAAAAGTTTGCCCATCCCTGGGTTAAGCGTTAGTCATTGTTTTAAATTTTACTATAAGCCATTCAGTTTTTCACATATCTTAAAAATAATATCAGTGATCATTTCTAACTTATAGCTCTATTTGAACAAAAAATAGTTTATTGCGCGCATTTAAATACTTAATTATTTTATATTCGCTGTGTGAGATAAATTCAATATAGAGCATTACGTGGTAGTACGCGTGGTCCACGCCACCAAATTCATACTTTTATAGTTATCTGATACCACGCTCTCCCCTTTTTTTTCAATTCCTACTGTTAGTTCACACTCCCCCTAATATCTTGTTCAAATATTCAATCCTTAATAAAATACTTTTAATTCATCCACTCAAGTACAAATACTTTTTTTTGTACATAATGTGGATGATACTTGATGTTAATACAGTTTTATAAAAATATTAATTCATTAATTAATTTTAGTCTTATATGGGAGAAAAATTTTTAATTATTTAATAAAAAGTTAATAAAATAAAATTTTTCTTTGCTGACCTAAGTATGAATTGAATTTAAAAAAAAAAAAAAAAAATTATATTACTTCTTTTAAAGAAATAAAGCTTCCTTACCTTTATGACAGACAAATGCCCGTGCGTTGTTGCGTAAGTCAAAGCTGTCCAGTGTTGAGTTTCCGGATTGACGCATGGATACGCACTACTTGAAGCTGGAGTCTATGGGAGGAATAAAAAGTAATGTTGTAATAAATGACATTCAAAACAAATAGCGTATAATGTCAGGATTCATTTAAAAACAAGCATGACATTCTACATGGGTGCAAAAAATTAAGAGAATTTTCAGACTTGCTCAATTATCTCTAGAACTACTAGACCAATTTTAACGAAATTGGATGCGTACAAACATTGATGCAATACAAAACAAATAATCATTCAACAATTGTAATGCACACGCATGACCATGCGTAACCCGAGTCAGAAGGTATGAAACAGAAGAGTAAACAAAAACAATAAGTTAATAGGGGACAGCTCCAGACTTTTAGTCTGGAGGAGTTCTCCTCAAAGTGGCGTTATATATGTGTAAGAGGGGACCTTACCCCCTATTTTTTTATTTTTATTTAAACGACTTAAAACTCCTCATGCACCACAAAGTGTAAGCCTCATGCTATACTTTGTGGTGCATGAGGAGTTTTAAGTCGTTTAAATAAAATTAAAAAAAATAGGGGGTAAGGTCCCCTCTTACACATATATAACGCCACTTTGAGGAGAACTCCTCCAGACTAAAAGTCTGGAGCTGTCTGCTACTATGGTAACAAGCGAGAGCACATTTCTAATGGGGGTGAAATGGAGGAAAGGAAGTGTCGATTTGTTTACTGACTCCGACCTATGCCAAGATTAAAACAAAACTATTCACCCCACAACCCTATTCGAAGTGACTTTTCCACGTAACCATAGAAGCCGTCATAACGCGAGACGGGTGCCTGGAGGAGTTCTCCTGAGAGCCGCACTATACAAGCCTTGCAGTGTGATTTCATATTTGAAATAAGGCAGTTGATCATTTCCTGCGGCAATTTCATACCTTCCGACTCCAACGAGTGTTAAGCACAATCATGCGTGTTGTATTACAATTGTTGAAAGATTATTTGTTTTGTATTGTATCAATGTACGGACATATCAAATTTCATTAAAATCGATCCAGTAGTTCTAGAGATAATCGATCAACTCTGCAGATTCTCTTACACCTGTGTATTACGTTCAAACTGTTATAGAAGCCATCTTACTTCCAGATCAACATCAGCTCCGGCATCCAAGAGGATATGGACCATAGCTTCGTCCCCACGGATGCATGCCACCATAAGGGGACTCAAACCCTGTTCGTTAAATGTATTTACATGACTTGGAGGTAGGAGTTGGAGAGCATGTGGTACGAGATCTGTCCTTCCGCTGGCCAGCATACGGAAAGCCAGTTCAACTTTTAACATTCTGGCACATTCTGGATCGTCTGACCTCTTGCAGCAGTGTAAACGGTCATCGTAGATTCTGGAAAACACATCAAATATTAATTACAAAATTAACTCCGTATAAATGCAATGTGTGAAAATACTCTCTTAAAAGACGAAATATCAATTATATTGATCAATGACAATTGCACACATTTAAACATCATCGAGAATTTTTTGCTGAAAGTACAGCACGCATAATGAAATATGGAATAACTTTTGATCTAATGATTGGCTTTTCAAGGTATCTGTAAGATGCAATATTAAAGATTCGAGAGACTAACCTTAAAATATACAAAAATATTTGCGCCAGGGTGCGTAGTCAAATATTTCAAAAAAATAAGCACTTTTTAAGCAATCAAAAATATTTTTAAGCAATACATTAAAATTTAAAATTCAAAGTAATTTTCAAAGACCTTACAAGATCATGATAAAATAGTTTCTGACAAAGAACTCTTTTCTTGATTATATTGGCCGTTAAAAAATGATAGAGATTTTTCGGTTCGATTTCTGAGGGTGGAAAATGAAGCTTGAAATCAAGAATATCTTGCAAAATGCAGCAGAGTTGCACACATGAGAATGCAATAATCTCACCGAATCCAGCTCAGTATACGCACTTGCGGACTCGCAAATATTTCATCAAACATGTAAAATGATTGGCGCTTTCATGCGCTATCGACCAAAGGTACGCTGAAATAGATTGTGGTTAAATGAATTGTGAAAACGTTGAATAGAACAATGTGAAAAGCTCGCTTTCGCATAATACGTGGCAAAAATTGACATGGTAAAGGAAAAAAATCTCATTTTCGAAAAGGGAAAATTAAATACATTTTAAAGTATCCAATGTTAAAAGCACCTTTAAGGGCTTTTAAAAATCGGATATAAGCACCTTTAAGCACTTTTCAAAAGCGCGACACACCATGTTGTGCGGAAGTAAAGAAATCAGACACAAAAACGTGTTTTCTCTGAACTCGACATCGCTAAAAAACCAAATAAAATTACTCAAATAAATTTTGTACTCAATTATATGACTTGCTTATCCGCGGGTATTATCCATGTAAAAAATAAATTTTCATTGTTACTTAGTATTTTTTTTACATTATTTATCATAATTACGATCAGAAAGTTTTAAATTATAGGGTATAAAAATTCTTGCAGCATTTTTCCCTCTGTAATTTTCAACTAAAAAAAAATCAAACATCTGTACGGAATCAAATATTTCTTGAGAATTAAAAATTTAAAAATGCGATTTTTTTTTCTTTTTACTCTTTAGCTTGAAAAAAGTGAAACCAACATAAAGGAAACAAAACTGTAAACTATAACGACCTTATTTTTCTGAATGCGGCTACCCTGAGTCAAGAATCAAATCCTTCAATAAACGAAAACTATATGTTTATTCAGGGAAAGCACATTTCTGTACCTGATTTTCGATGATAACTGAAAATACCAACTGCACAACTCTCGCCCCCAAACCATTAAAACTGAGCGACAATCCGACCACTAGATCAGAAGTTAATAAAGTTGTTTTATATTTTACTTGGTAGTGTCAAATAAAATCTACATTTATAGTCCTCCCACTTAACTAAGAAATCTAAAATTGATTATATTATCAACGGAAATAAAATGTATTGTAGTTCGGAGTTTTCTTTAAATTACCGATTACATATCGCCTGACGACGAATTTTAGATCCTAGCGCCGTCTGTGCTCAGCTTTGCACGGTCAACCATTTATTGGACAACGAAAAATCTCTGTCATAAGTTGAGTATTAATGGTGCCACACACCTATAATTTTCTAATTTGGGTGTTATATTTCAGTCTGATGCAACTATGAGAGACATAATTTATCCCCTGGGTTGATTTTTCAGTGTAAGATAACTCTTGAAATGAGTCTAGAAGAATTTAAATACTCAGACTCACCCGAATTCTCTGACAGGACAGTCGACACCTGGAAGAAGTAATCGAGCAGCTTGCATGACATCGTCTTTATCAACTACTTGAGACCTCCTGTGTTCGGCATGAGCACTGGCCACTCTCACCCACTCAATGAGAGGAGGCAGAACTAAATAGGGTCTGAAAGAAAAACCAGTACATTTTTAGCAACAAAACAACACTGTTTAAAGATCTTTAAAAGTACAATCGTTTTTAGATTGATATCTTGAACCACAATGTCACGCGCAAGTTTGATGAAACATTAAGGGAGATGTTGAATTGTTTGATGCTTCCATTCAAATTGAATGAGGTGTTAAGTCATAACCATTTTTCTCTTCGATTTATTTTTTCTCGCAGATTTAATGAGGTGTTAAATCAAAACTTTGCTTCTCTTCGAATTTTGTGCGATCAAAACTATGAGGTGTTGAATCAAAACTATGATTCTCTTGGAATTGAACAGTGATATCGTTCAAATTTGTTGCAATCTTCATGAGGTATTATACTGAATCATGTTTCTGTTTGTATCGAATCACACTATTATGCTAATTTGTTGCAATCTTAATGGCGTGTGCAGTCAAAACCATGATTCTCTTCGAATGGAACGATGATATCGTGCAAATCTTTTGCAATCTTTTAAGAGGTGTTAAGTTGAAACGATTTATGCTTATGTTTCCATTCAAATTGAATGAGGTGTCAAGTCAAAACCATGATTCTCTTTGAATTTTTTACAATCTTAATGAGGTGTTAAATCAAAACTATGATTCTCTCGGAATTTTTTGCTATCTTAATGAGGTGTTGAATCAAAACCACGGTTCTCTTCGAATTGAACTATGATATCGTGCAAATTTGTTGCAATCTTTATGAGGTATTAAGTTGAATCATGTTTCTGTTTAATTCGAATCACACTATTATGCAAATTTGTTGCAATCTTAATGGGGTGCTCAAAAAAAGCCATATTTCTGTTTGAATTAAACAATAATATCCTGCAAATTTGCTACAATTTAATGAAGTGTCGAGTTGAATCATGTTTCTGTACAAATCGAATCACGATATCATGCAAATTTGCAGCAATTTTAATAAAGTGTTAAATTTAACCACATTTCAGTCCAAATTAAACCATAACACAGCGCAAATTTGCTGCAACAGGAACGAGTAACATGTGTATTTTCTGCAATCTTAATAGCGAATTGCGTTGCATCCATACCTTATTCATGTTCAAATGAAACCATTAGTATTAAACGAGCAAACAGCAAATTTAATGATTCATATAATTAAATGATCGAAAGAATAAGCAATAATTAGTAACAATAAATTGAAGGTTAATAGTATAGTTCAGCTTGGCACATTACAAATAATAATGCAAACTCACACATCGTAACCACAGTTTAACTGTACCAATATTTTGAACAGGTGCAATGGGATACTTGTAAGTTGGATGTCTTCTTCTTGAAATGCAAGTACCCATTTGTGAACCTGTAGGATATCATCAAAAAGTATTTTAATGAAGCTACAATAGTATTACCTCTCATAGACAAGCTCTTGCACAGGACTTCTGTGGTTGGTATGGTCGGCGTGTTCAAGTTGGGAGCATCTCATGAAGTAGTAGAGGGCGTGCAGTGCTGAAGGACCCCAGACGAGACTGCAGCGGTTCGTTACGAAAGTCATGTGCTGATAGTACTGCACAACTCTACGCAAAACATCACCTGATTCATAAAAGGAATTTAAGCTGTTTAGTAAGACGTGCAACTTCTTAAATTAATTTGGTTTTTAAGAAAGCGTTTTCAAATCGTAGCATTATACAGACATATTTTATTTCTACATTAATATAGCCTTATAAATGGATGATGCCTTAAAAATTTAAACAACAACAACAATCTCGAGCTCTTGACCTGCTCTACTTCCAGATGGAAAGTATACAGCTGCTTACTACAGCTTATTCTATGAGGAGATGTTTTGAAACAGATAACTTTTTTTTAAAATAAAAGAAATAAATTATACAATTTCTGAGCTGAAATCTGCTGTATTTCATATGATATTAAGTCATTCTGATGTGTTTGAAGTGAAAATTTTTTTTAGTTATTTAGAGATGTATTGTTAAAAAAGGTGACATGGTTGCAAGATAACGAAATTATGTGGACCTAATTCTAATAGAATATGTGGCGCATCTACCGAAGATTACTGTAATCAAATAAAAAGTACTGATTTGTTTCTTTTTTTAATATCCATCGTTGAACAGCGGGCCCAATTTTTGGGTTTACGGCTACTAATGTTCAACTCCGTAACCTGGTAATTTTGAACCAATCCAGCAGACAAGAAAACTCCTGGATCAGTACCCCCAAAGGTATTGATTTGTTATGGGAACATGGAGGATTTTGCGACTCGACAGATTTTAACGTGCATCAATCACCATTTATTACACAGAGAATCTGCAAATGGTGACTGATGCACGTTAAATCTTCCGAGTCACAAAATCCTCCATGTTTACATAACAAATCAATACGTCTGGGGATACTGATCCAGGAGTTTCCTTGTTTTCCGGATTGGTTCAAAATTACAGGGCTACGGAGTTGAACATTAGTAGTCGTAAAACCAAAAATTGAGTCAGCTGTTCAACGACGGATATAAAAAAAAAATCAGTAATTTTTATTTGATTACAGTAAGTACTGATTTGTTTAGAAAAATTCATTTTAATGCAATTCTAATTTCTTTCTGGTGGAAAAAATCATTCGCTGAAAACAATTTTATTCGCGAAACGCATTTTATCGCATTTGGAAAAGTGGCGAATGCTTAGAGCGGGTTCTAATTATATAAATATATTAAAAGAAAAGTACAACAGCATTATGAAAATATTTTGATAAAAATATCCGTCCGGAACCCAAATAATCTCTACTCATCCGATTACGCTACGTCGTTTGTCCTCACACAAGACAAGTTCGACTAAAATCTTTTTTTTCTTCCTTGATTGCCCGTTTGAGAAAAAGAATGGACGTCAAAATGCAATAACATCTCAATTATTTTATCATAAAATTAATTGAAATAACTCAAGGCACACGTTCCATTGATGCAACATAAATTTTCAGTAATTTCTCAATACCCTTTAGGACATCAAAATCGAATCAAAACTGATAAAACTGAGTGCATCTAAATAATTGAATGGTTAGACTCATAACTCTTTAACAAAAAGCATGACTTTTCCTCTAATGATCTCTTCTGACTTTCCATTAAGGTTAAGTCGTCTATCACGTCTGACGGGATTTATCAGTTATTTAATCTTTTATCTAAGGTTATTGGGTACTTGTAGTAGCAGCCATTTTTTTCTCCCTCCCTCATTTAATAAAGATGGCGGACACGACATTTATCAAAGAACATTAAAGTAGTTACATTTGTGATGCGTGTAGATTAGAATACGTAGATTAATTTTCGAAAGCATTTGTGAAATTATTTTCTAAAATAGATAACTAAAGTACCAAATTAAGTTCACTTTAAAAAATCCAGGTCTTATCCAGTCTACCCAAGTCAAAATTCCTGATGGTCCCATCAGAACATTTTGATGGTTTATATTGATTTCCGAGTGTTTCATGATGGTCCGACATCATTTGATGGTCACCACCATCCAACATTTTCCATTATGCGTTCCTGGTTTTTGATATGCCAACAAACTTCCATCATTGCATGATGGAAAATGCTACTTTAATACTATGATGGTTAACCATCAAGAGAAGTTTGATTCTCATAACGATCTGTGATGGTCCATGATGGTTCGAACTATACATTTCCATGATGGTTTAATGGGAATTCTTGATGGTTCTCAGGAATATACCATCAAAACAATTTTTTTTAAAAGTTGGACCCTCATAAATCAGTCCGAATTCCTACATTGGGATGATGGTTGTTCGTGATCGTTTTAACATTTGATTTCTAAGAAACTGTGATGGAAATTTCTGATTGGAACAAACCATGAAAACAAGTTGCTATTCTTATATTGGATCATCATATAAATCAGTCCGAATTCCTACATTGGGGTGATGGTTCCTTTTGTTGGTAATCATCAAAAATATAATGGTCCATGATGGAATTACTAATGCTTACCATCAAGATTATGTTGGTTCATCAATGTAAAACCATCTTGGACACTTACCCAGCAATAAGTCCACTATAAACAGTGGTTCAAAGTAGTGTTATTGAAAATAGTGAACTGCAATAGCACATAATTTGCTTTATGAACTTTAATTAACTAAATATAGTGCCTCTACAACAACGGTTCCTTAGAACCCTAGGGTTCCGTGGAAGGATTACAAGAGTTCCGTAAGTTAGGATTTCGTTTTCAACAGAGTAGCTTATTTAAGGCGACTGCCTGGGTACGATGGAAAAAAACTTTTTAAATAAATTTCTTTTAAACATATGTGTTATTTTTTATTTTTATTTTATAACCGTCGTTGAACAGTCGACCCAATTTCATGGGTTTACGACTACTTCCGTTCAACTCCGTAGCCTTGTAATTTTGAACCAATCCAGAAGACAAGGAAACTCCTGGATCAGTACCCCCAGAGGTATTGATTTGTTGTGGGAACATGGAGGACTTTGAGACTCGACAGATTTAACGTGCATCAGTCACCATTTAGCGAGGATCGAACCATATGTGTTATTGGTTCAAGTGTGATATAAAAGGTTTGAGGACTCACTTTGGCTAGATCAAAAAGAACAAAATTAGCAAAATGACTTTGAGAAATCGCCAAACGAACTTCGGAAGTCTTTCACTGTAAATTTGAAGAAAAAAAATGTTAAATCTGATGACGACTGGTATTTTAAGTATTATTTTATTACTGGTATTTTAAGTTATCTTATTAGAAAATAGTAAATATGATAGCCGGATTTAAAGATTTTATGATAATTCTATAAACTATGATGAGAGCTTTTCTAAATTTCTGAGTGATAAATTAGATAAAGCAGAGAAAAACCTCATGCGTTAAATTAAAAAACACAGTTTTGTAGGTATTTCAGATAAAAAGTTAAAACAATTAATACCATTTTATGATAAAAATATCATTATTTGAGTTAAAACTAACTTAATGTTCTGTAAATATAAATCTGATTTTTTTCTTTATCAATTATATTGCCTAGTGATCATCTGTTGTGAAATTGTTAATTATTTTTCAATGTATTTTCATCAATTTGAATTTGATTAAATTTTTTATCAATGTTATTTAATCAATTTGAAGATCTTCAACACTAAGCTTATTCTGTGATTACCATTAAATTTGCTATCGAAAATTTAAAATCTAAATCTGATGTTCGTAAGGATGTTAAATATTTCGATACTACTATTTGAAAAACTAAACATTGGCCGCCATTTTGAAAGCTTCAATTTTCATTCAGAAATCGCAATTATGCCTTACTCTTTATTCTCGTTTCGAGTGCTTTTTTTTTATTTCGACTATAAAACTAGAGAATGTATTAATTTAATTCTGCATGATTGTTAATTTCATAATTTAATCTCAAGACGCACTATAAAACATCGGAAAATTAATCCCTTTAAGCTTTGTTACCACCTCTAGACAATAACCTAAGTAACTGGCTTCAACGGTAAGAATGAATTTATTGAAATAACTGCGGGTCATTATAAACAATGCATCATAATAAAAACACTAAATAAGAATATTTCAGTGACTTCTAAAAAGAAAATTACTATTCCCGCCTTTTCTTACCTATTGAGAAATAAAGACAAATTTAACTTTTATTGTCGCTATTAGACTATGGTTAAATACTGACCTATAAAAGTTTTAAAAAAATATGTAATGAAATACCGAGTTCTAAATTTAAATACTCCGTTACAAATTGTTCTACACTGTAAAAACTGTAGTGTAACATCTCTTCGAATTTCATGTTGAACAACCCTAAAATTTGCGTAAAGGAATATTAAGTCAACACTAAATCGAGCTTTCATATACAATTCAAAAGGCTTATAAAAGCTATAAACACCTAAAATACAAAAAGTTTAAACCAAGATCATGGTCTTTCAATCCTTACGTTAAAAACTTTCTCACTTTCTACCTTCCTTCTTACGTTACTTTTCAAAAATTCCAATGTTGGAACGCTTTTGGATATCGTCTGTAATTGTGCTTACAATCGTTTACGAGTTGGGGTGCATTTATTTTAGTATCAATACTGCTTTGTAACTACAGAAATTAAAGTTCGTCATTAAAATACGTATGTTTTTAGTTGGGTATTCATGTTTTATTTTTTAAGTCTCTGTAAACTGTATTAAATAATTTTATAACGTCTAATTTTTATTTGCTTTGCTAAGCCTAATTCGAATGCGCCTTAACCTAATCGCCTAAGCCTAATTCGCCTCTTTGAACTACGCGTATGTTTGATTTACAAACTAATTTCGTTTTAAGAATTTTTATTTGCTTTGCTAAGCCTAATTCGAATTCGCCTTAACCTAATCGCCTAAGCCTAATTCGCCTCTCTGAACTACGCGTATGTTTGATTTACAAACTAATTTCGCTTGAAGAATTAGTGTATATGTGCATCCTAAATTAATGATTCCTACTTTATAATGTCTCGTAAAAATAACTTTACTGTCTCTTATGCGTATCTTATCTTACTGTAATTATAAATATTAGTGTTAGAGAATACCAAAAATGGTGGTAGCTATTTTACATCAAGAAGTGTAAAAGAACATTCTTGGTATTTCTGAAAGCTCGGCACTACACCATTTTAGTGTATTTATGGTATGAAGATACAAAAAATATTTTTCACAGTGTAGCTGTTTTCGAGGGCTCTGTCGTCACATGAATTAACTCTTTTTAGCGAATAATATGTTTATAAGTGTTGCGAGTTTGTAACCGTTATTCCTGATTGTTAAGTTTTGTTCATCTTTAGCCAGTTTTAATGTTTGAAAAGTTACTTCAACTCTGCATTGTCTAAGCTCAAAATATTTTTCAACAATAGATAATAATTTAATGACATTAAAGATTTCCAATTGTCGAAAAATCGGAATTGTCAAAAAATCCTGCCAAATTGTCGATTTTTTAAAAAATCTATACATAATAATAAACGCGGCTGTGTGTGTGTCTGTCTGTAATCACAATATATCGCCCCAGAAGCCTCGCCCAGGCACGAAACTCGGCACATAATTGTGTTTTGACATAATGAAGAAGTATTTTTTTTTTCCTTTTTCAAAAATTTGGATTAGTTTTTTAGTTATCAGTCATTTTGTAAGAAAATCTATGCTTTTTCGTCTTCAAAAAGCCACATTCAAAAAACTATTAACTTTACTATACTTTTCAACATATTACTTTTAACATATACTTTTCTCCACTCTTATAAATTTATGCTAATGCGAACCTTACAATTGAAATATTAATTTTCGACAACTTAAACCAATAATATACGAAGGAATTAATAATTTGATTGTAAGGTTCACATTAGTTTATTTTTATCGAAGTGGAGAAAAGTTTAACTTTCGTATTAAAAATGTGGCAACATATTCGATACGTAAATAGAACGCTTCGCTTTGATATATTTGTCGGAAAAGCAGAGCTATAAGCGATAAGCAGAGAGCTCGCAGCACTTAACTATACTCAATACTCAATATTTGTCGCTGTTCATAATTGCTATAATAAGTTTTTCTTCTTCCTTCCACACTCTATTTTTTTTCTTAACCGAAGACGAAAATTTTTGTAGCGATATAGAAATAGAAATTGATACCATAAAAAATTATATAGAAATAGAAATTGATACCATAAAAAATTAATTCGTTTTCGTGTTCTTTTCATGTATTTAACATTATAGTTTTTTTTTCTTAAGCGTTGTAGCTATATAGTATATAAAATAGGAATTTAATTGTTTTTGAAGGAACGATCACACTTACCTTGGATCTCTTTGGTTTTTCTATTCTTTATTTTAACAGTTTTTATTGAATGTAATTAGTTATTTTCAGAAAGTTTCAGTTTGCAGGTAAGCACTTAGATTTTAATATTGAAGTTTCATGATTTGCTTTCATAGTAATTGTTGTTCTAAAGTATTCGTTGACTTCTTAAAAACCCGATTACTGACATGGCAGAACCGCCCTCCAAAAAACTTTGTATTTTGTCAAAGAAAAAGATATTAAGAGATTCTCAAAGAAGAAGAAGGGCCCAAGAAACGTCTGTGGAACGTCAAAGAGGGATGGAACATGACCGAATTTCGACAAGCAATTCTAGAGACCAAGAAGTATCGGAGAAACGTCAAAGAAGATTAGAAGAGGTTCGTGTCTCAACTAGCAGTGTTAGGGCCTGAGAAACACCCGAGGAACGTCAAAGAAGATTAGAAGAGGTTCGTGTCTCTACTAGCAGTGCTAGGGTCCAAGAAACATAGCGTGGCGGACAGCTGGCCGCCTTAGGCAGCTAGTTAATAATATTTTTAAAATATTTAAGCTATTTGTGTTTCCAAAGGGTAAATCAATTTCTTGCTGCTGAATAGTACGTGTAGTTTAAAATTATATCTTTGCTTTCTATACGGCATTTAAACAGCGAACTTTACCCAGATAGCAAAATAAGGTTTATTTTAACTCAGCAAAAACCCTTTAATGTAAACCTAAAAAAGGTTTTTAATGCAGTTTACGTGTAAACCTTCTAACCTTAAAGCGAGATCTGTGACCATCTGCTCTATTCTACCCACATTACCCTATCTTAAAACCTTGGAAAACAACCTTCTATAAAAAAACCTTAAATCGAGGTTGACTTAAGGTCTTCAAGCGTAAAAAAATCCTTTAATAAAGCTTTCTATAATAATATTCTATTATTATAGATTCTATGTTCTATATATTCTAATATTCTATATAATATTCTATATTCTATTCTTTCTTAATAAAGTCTCAAGGTGAAAATAATCTTAAATCTAGGTAATTATAAGGTTTCTTTTCGCAAAGTCTTGTATGCTCATCAGCTAAAATCCACATTGTCTTGAAATTTTAATGGACAATGCTCCTATCGCTAGTGTGACGTCAGCTAAAACGTCATAATGGACTTAAGTGACAATACTTTTTTTAAAAAAAGCTTTCAAAAATAATATTTTTAATCCTTTTAGGATGAAAGGTTTTGAAACTGCAATATTTTTGCTTTATTGAAAGAAAGGTTTTTAGTACGAACATTTTCGTGACAATAAAAATTAAATTCCGAGACAAGGTTGCATTAAGGTTACATGCTTCCTGGGTTATTTCGATAGGAGAAAAATCATTAAGGAACAACCTTTAAGAAGAAAAGCAGATTTAGACTTTCAGTAATGTAATTTTTAAAAAAAAAGAGAAGGAAAACATGAGAGAATTTGAAAAACTCATTAAAGCACTTTTCTCACAACAGTTTCTAAACGCCACATCATGTTTTCATTCTTTTAATGCGCAAAATAAATAATGAAGCCCACGTCCCACATCATTGTAGCCAAGTATGAAAAATGTTCTCGCCAATGTGATAAAGATCAAAACGATCTGCTAAAGAAGACTTTATCGTGTTCGCAAATGGAATGGCGTGCTTACCGAGTTCTGCTGTGCTGCCTACGCACGTGGTGAGTAAATGCTGTTCCACAGACTTGCAAGTGGAGGGCGGCCTGTTCGACTGGGGCTGGTCCTCGGCGTGGTGAAGCTGCACCGAACTCCCAGGCCTGCTGTTGCTGTTATCAGATTGTATGGGCCATCGGGGCAGAGAAAGAGCACCTGGAACAAAAAAGAAAAGAACATTATTACGGCAGCGGGTGACGCCTCGGCTATGAAAAGGTAGCCAGTAATATTTTTGTTCCATTTTAGAAAAACGAGGTTCTATTTTCGAATCTCTTTTAATCCATTTCTTGACATTCTGTTTCAGAAACGATTGTTAAAAGTCACGATTTAAGTAAGTCACAGCTAAGGTATAAAATTATGGATGGATGGCTGAATGTAAACAATAACTATCTTCCTAAAACCGGAAGAAGTTTAGGAAACTAAATAATAAATGATAAGCAAGTTATAAATGATTCAATGTTTACAATAAATAGAGTTTTTGTTGCATTTATTATTTGTTCAATTAGGTTAACTATGGATTATTATTTGGAATATATTTATGGACAATGGACTTTATTATTTGTTTATGTATAAGACTATGGATGGATGGCTGAATGTAAACAATAACTATCTTCCTAAAACCGGAAGAAATTTAGGAAACTAAATAATAAGTGATAAACAAATAATAAATGACTCAATGTTTTCAATAAATAGAGTTTTTGTTGCATTTATTATTCGTTTAATTCGGTTGACTAGTTTTGAGCAATTCACTGAAATGAAAACTTATTTTATATTCTTTGGCATGTAATAACTACTATTTTGTTGAAGTAATTTGTTTAGGTTACGTAAGAAAAAGAAATGAGGGTACTTTTAATATAAATAGTTGAAATTGCAACTTATATAGCGGTAGTAAGTTTTAATGAAAGTGGTTAACAGCTTTTAAACAATTAAAAATAAATGTTGGCCCAGAAGCCAAAGAATATATTCAAACTGAATATGACTCAAAACACAGGGTGCGCAGCCAAATCTCTCAACAAAATATAAGCACCTTTTAAGTACTCAAAAAATATTTTTAAGTACTATATATACATTAACAAAATGCAAAATAATTTTCAAAAACTTTACATGATCATGATAAAATAAATAGCTTCTGACAAATAACTCTTCTCTGGATTATATTAGTCATTATAAAATGATCGAGAGATTTTCCGGTTCGATATCAGAGGGCGGAAAATGAAGCCTGACATTGACAATATCTTGCAAAATGCAGCAGAGTTGCACATGAGAATACAATAATCTCACCGAACTCAGCTCAGTAAACGCACATGCAGACTCGCAAGTTTTCACCAAACATGTAAAATGATTGGCGCTTCCATACGCTATAGACTGATCGTACGCTGAAATAGATGGTGGTTGAATGAATTGTAAAACTTTGGATAGAACAATGTGAAAAGCACGCTTTTGCATTAAACGTGGCGAAAATCGGCATGGTGAAGGGAAAAAAATATTTCGAAAAGGCAAAATTAAGCACTTTTTAAAAACACCCAATGAAAAAAGTACCTTAAAGGGCTTTTAAAAAACGAAAATCGAAAATAAGCACCTTTCGGCACATTTTAAAAACGCTTACGCACCATGAAACATTTATGAGAGGTGTCCTATAAGGGTAGATCGGCAAAAAAGAAGGGCTAGACTAGCAACTTGAAACTGCTGAAAATGAAGAATCATCGTATGGATAATAATACCCTGATGCATTATTGCTAGTTACAAAATGTTATATATTTATATCGATTATTGATCACAAAACTTTAAACGCAATTTACTCACAACTAAGTTCCTCGTTCTTTCTCTATATTTTACTAAAACAATCATCAACCGATATACTTCAAATTTTGACTCAAAGTATAGTTCTTGCTGCATGTAATTATTTTATTTTATTTCATAACCGTCAGGGCCGGATTACCCATTAGGCCAGACTAGGCCTGGGGCCCCCAATGATTAGGGGCCCCCTTAAAATGAATTTTTTGAAAATAAATTTTAAAAAATTAAGAAAAACAATGATTTTTTTTAATTTTTTTAAAAAAAATGTTATGATTATTTTTTAGTTCTAATTTAATAAAATAAAGCAAAATTTAATTTATTATTCATTTTAATTTTAAATATGCTTTCTTTAGTGAAAAGATATATAAATACTTTCATATTTGAATAAATAAAAAATATACGAGAAAAAAAAATTAATCTAAGGGCCCCAAAAATTAGAATGGCCTAGGGCCCCGCGTTCGCTTAATCCGACCCTGATAACAGTCGTTGAACAGCCCACTCAAGTTTTCGACTACTAATGTTCAACTCCATAGCCTTGTAATTTTGAATTCAATCCAGAAGACAAGGGACCTACTGGACCAAGTAATAGGAGAAATTTGTCATCGTGGAGGCATAGTTGATGGAACTAACCCGCTTTTACGTTACATGCAGAGGAAAACCACGAAAACCCCCCAGGTTAGGCTGACAGCAAGGGGGTTCTAACTCATGATCCGTCTACCACCGAGGATATTTTACGTCAGCTTTGCGGGGGATGCAACCCGGATACGGAACTCGTATCGCAAGCCATCACTGGGATTCGAACCCGGCGCCCCTCATTGGAAGACGAATGCTCTATCCTCTGAGCCACAACGGCTAATTATCTGAATTTTATTTCATTTTATAACCGCTGTTGAACAGCCAACCCGACTTTTTGGGTTCAAGACAACTAACGTTCGACTCCGTAGCCTTGTAATTTTGAACCAAATTCAGAAGACAAGGGACCTCCTGGAGCAATTATTAGGAGAAATTTGTCTTCGTGGAGGATTAACTAATCCGCTTTTGCGTTGCATGGATAGGAAAACCACGAAAATCATTGGAAGACAAACGTTCTATCCCCTAAGCCAGGGGTTGCCAAACTTTTTTGATCATCGACCCCTACATAATTTTTCGAAATCTCCATCGACCCCCATAAAAGTAATTTTCTGTTAATTAAAATAAAACTCTATTAGATACTGTATTTGTACATTTATTTCATGATTTTGAACATTTATTAAAGTAATAGTACATAGTGTAACAATAGTTTTATGAAAAATATATTAATGTTGAAATATAAATACCTTAATATTCATGAAATAATAAGTAGTTATAAGTAAGTAGAAATAATAAGTAAAGTAGCTACGGATTTATTGCTTCTTAATCAATGACATGGGTGTGTCTGGTGTTTTTTTTTATTTTTGCAAGGCTCATTATATTGGGTTCAAAATTGGTCAATTTTAATCTTAAATCCCCTCGAAACTCCACTTTTAATTTATTTCTGTTCTTAGTTAAGATTGAATTTACGTGAATGAAACCGGCTTCAACCATATAGGAACTTTGAAATGCCATCATAAATGGCTGAGCTATTTCGTAAAGTCTTATTTCGTAAAGTCATATTTTTGCATTATATTTATATTTGTCCAAAATTTGCTTATTGTTAAATTTTTAAAAAGCGTCTGCTTCAAATCCCCATAATAATTCAGCAAGCTCATCTTGCAGGTTGATGTCCACGTTTTCAATTTGAGCAGAAAATGGCACAATAATCCAATCAGGGATGCCAATGTTTTCCAAATCAACAAAACGCAGTTTAAAATCGTCGCTCAATTTTTGAAGATTACATGTATATATTTCCAAGTCTTCTTTTTTTATTTCTAATTATCACATATATGAAAAATACTTATAATCCTTCGACCAATCGACCCTTCCGGTTCGGATCGACCCCCATTCGACCCCCTGGCTCAGAGCGACCCCCGCTTATGTTAAATAGACCCCTGGGGGTCTATATAGACCACTTTGGCGACCTCTGCCCTAAGCTATCACGGCTCGCATGTAATAATTGTTTAATTCGGTTGTCCGGTTTTGAGAAGTCCTCGAAAATAAAACCAATTTTACATAATTTTTTGAATTTTTTTTTTCATAACATCACCGCTTTTTAAAAATCCTACATCCAACGAAAACTACATTCATGTAGTTTAAACAAAACTTAAAACGGAATCAAATTGGGATGTTTTTTTCAACTTCTGAAAACAGCAAGTTATGAATAACTTAAAAAATAAGTTATAAAACGTTGTATCGTATAATCTCTAATTTTTTTAATTTTTTTTCTTCCGTGTAGCATGATAAAATAAAATAAAAATAGGTGCAAATAAGATTTGAAAAAAAATTATGTAAATTTATCTCAATCGTTAAAAGTTCATTAAAAAATCTTTTTTACCAGCTCCTACAGTTTTATTATCCCTTAAACGATTTCTTAACATATCATAAACATTTGTTTAAAAACTATCAACAATCGTTGTTTTAATTGTTTACATAATTTAAAATGTATATATCCTAATTCATTATTAATTCCCGAATTCTACTGTATAACTTATCTTTTTAGAATTTATTTTAAAATGGAAGCAGGGAATAAAAAGTAAATTAAATATATCGAGGATAGACATGAAATTTATATATCCTAATTCATTTTTAATTCCTGAATCCTTTTTTAGACATTATCTTATTAGAATTTTTATTTTAAAATGGAAGCAGGGAATAAAAAGTAAATTAAAAATTTTCAAGGATAGGAAATTTTTTTTTCAAACTCCATGTTTGAGCCGTTATGGCTCAGGGGATAGAGCGTTCGCCTTCCAATTAGGTGAACTGGGTTCGAATCCCAGCGATGGCTGATCGACACGAAGTCCGCATCCGTCTTGCACCGACCACAGTGCTGACGTGAAATATCCTCAGTGGTAGACGGATCATGGGTTAGAGTCCCCTTGCCACCAGGCTAACCGCATGAGGTTCTCGTGGTCTTCCTCTCCATGTAACGCAAATGCGGGTGAGTTTCATTAAAACGTCCTCCACGCAGGAAAATTTCTCCCTATGCTTGATCCGGGAATTTTCTTGTCTTCTGGATTGGGTTCAAAATTAAAAAACTACGTTGTTGAACATAAGTAGTCGTAAACCCGAAAATTGGATCGGCTGTTCAACGACGGTTATAAAATAAAATAAAACTCCACGTTATAGTTATAAATATTGGCGAAAATACCACCCAAACGAACATTTATATCAACACATCTGGCTAAAATAAAATGCTACTGGATTTGAACTGATAAGACTTAACAGGAGGAGAAATAAAAAAAATA